ATGAATTCAATTTCTTGATTAGACTATAATTTTTTAAAATATCTATATCTACAAATAATTTCTTCAAAAATAAATTTCAGTCATAATAAAGTATAGAATAGTTTTACATTCATGAAATTCTTGGTAATAGAGCTTACAAATTGTAAAACTAATATGACTAATTATTATATAAAACTTTTAATGATACTTAACTGAAAAGCTATCATAATAAAAATGATTACTTTGAGCCAAGAATAATTATTAAATACATAAAAATATCAAGAACAGAAAAAGAAAATAAAGAATAGATTTTTAGTCTCATAATATTTATTTATTTATCTCTTAATTTTATACAAATCTTATTTAGTAATATATGCATGTATACATATTGATCACTTATTAAAAATTTTGTTTTATAAATATAAAACTTTTACTTTAATATTTTCTTTAAATTTTTATCACATTTAATTATTTTAATATTCCCATTAATTAGTTTAACTTCTTATTAGTATTTAACTCTTTAAAGATAAATACTCTTTTAAATAATCTTAATTTTATTCAAAATATTTTGATCCTTCATCAATAACTAAAAGAGAACAAATTTAATGAAACTTTACAAATTTGAGAAGATTAGTTAATACTTAATGATAGTAATCAGAAAGTAGTATATAATCTTATTACTGAAAGATAACTTAATTTTAGTATAACTTTGAATATATCTCAAGAACCAGAACTAATAATAGAAGAAATTTCAATCTTAATAAATAATTCACAGAAAAGTATCAGAGTAAAATAATTTGTAAATATAATTAATACTAAAATTTCAAGAATAGTAATTACAGTCAATATTAATTATCAATTTTAATTTAAATAAAGCTGGAAAATAAGAGTTTAAACAATATTTAATAATCTATTTAAAAATTATGATAATCAATCTGATGAATCATAATTTATTAGAAGTAAAAATAACTTTATATATATAGTAATTAAGTCAGAAAAAATACTTTTTTCTCTAAGTGCACATCCTTTCTAAATGCATGCTCATAGAAGGATGCATTTAGGAAGGTTTATCTGTATTACTATTCTAAAGAAATTAATTTAAATAATTTTTAATTAATGAAATTTTAATTTCAAATATTGCTTCTCAATGAATTTTTAGTAAAAAAAAATAGTAGGATTATTTTTAATTTGGTATTTCAGGATAAATATTAATATAGATCATTTAATTTCTTTAGAATGGCAACTTTTAAGACATTCTCTAGGTTATTAGCTTTTTTTTGTAAAACTTTTCATATTGCGTTTCTCTTGTGAACCAATATTCTTATATTATCTGGGGGTCGCGCTGGAAGCATTCCCTTTATGAAGATCAATATTTTATTTGTTAATAATTACGTATCAATTTTCAAGCAGACATGTATTGTTTATATCGATAGAAGAAGATGTCATCTTTAAATAATGAAATAAGGTATCGATATATAATCACATAATTAAATTTCTCAAATTAGGAGCGGTATATTATTCCTTAGACACTATTTAAATAGATTATCACAAAACTGACCAGTTACAAAGTATTATTCTTTGGCATAGCGTGAACAAAATTTATTTTAAAATTTTTTTCCATCTAATTGTTAGAAAAATAGCTTTCTAAAAAACCCTTTTTGATTTTTGATGCTTGTAGCATTGCTATGTACTAAGTAATATACTTATTTTACCAATTATATCTTGATTAATAGTTTAAAATAATGAACGAAGCATTCATTAGGAGGAGGATAAGTTGCCTAATTGAAAACTAGCCTCTGAAAATAGTGCGACATCAAGATTATAATTATGAGTTCTTAATATATCAAGTCTCAGACATGATATTGTAGATGTAAATAATCTCGCTGCGAGAAAAGAGGATAACGCAGCATCAACTATAATTTTTGAAGTGTGTTGCGATATTTCTCTTTTTTTCGATTGAAATGAACAAAAATTTAAAATTATGAACATAACTCTAAAAAGATGATATATCAAAAATATTAAAATCACACAAACCTTTCGCTTTCTATATTATTTGTACATTAAATTGCGAGTCCATCCATTATACTAATAGACGATCTTTATTTGGATTTCCACTTTTAATGGAATCGGAGTGTGCTTGAAACTCGAGCGTTTGATTTGCAGGCAATCCCAAGGTCGATTTCAACTGTCGTCTGTAAAGAAAAAAAAATGAATTTCGAAGTAAAGTCAAACAGCAACTTGTATAAATATTATAGATACCCTAATGTTTTTGTCATTTCAATGTTATTTGATGTGCGAGTCCACAAAGAGATTCTATAAAAGATTTTCCGCACTGAAACAACCGCGCCACATATTTCATCAGGGAAATCAAAAGATTCTCCAATACATGCAAGCATCTGAATATTTAATTACCAAAATCAAGTTAGGGCTAATCATTCATTATTTCAACAAAATCAATCAAACCTTTCGATTTTTTGAATTCATTTTGGTAGCTCAGTTAATTCTAAGTTAATATGTTATAATAGATATAAAAATGTATGTTACCGTGTATAGCCATAGATTGTTAATCTCTTCACCGATCCTACTACGGTGAAATTGAATCACCCATTTGCCGCCTTTTTCATTTATAGGATCTTCCCACATTGGTTTGATTCCTTGCTTGAATAGATGATAGTTTGAACCTGAAGCTAGATCACTGGATTTTACAATGTTGTTGTAAACACTATAGATCGAAAAATATTATTATTATTATTATTATTATTATATTATTATTATTATTATTATTATTATTATTATTATTATTATTTAATCAAGTCTATAAATTCACAAATATAATAATGAAAGAAGAGATTATTATCTAAATATACCCCCAAAATTCTTCCACCGAATCAAAGGTAATCATCTCTTTAAGATTCTGTGACCAGGTGTTTTGGCTTGCTTTTTTTCCAGGATTATCAAACCATAAAGTCCATGCGTTGAATAATGGATGCTTAACATTATAATTCACCGGATCACTAAAGACAGTACGCATTTCTGTAAAGGGAAATGCAGCACTAACTTCTTCGTGATCCGAATCTTCAATTTCTTCTCCCACATCAAGAGAAGGTTCAGAGGTAGACATTTCCATAATAGAACTACTTGTATTTATTTCACCCACTTGTTAATAAAAAACGTTAAATTCTCGTAAGCCACCAAAAAAAAATTCGAGTTTATTATGAGGGGCTGACAAATCGTTCGGTATAAATTGAGCGTTAGCATTAGTTATTCTATTTAAATATTGCATAATTTAATGATAATTTGCATGATTAAAGATGTTAAGTTGATTGGAACAGAAAAAAATCGATCACATTCAAGTTCATAGAAAACCTATAAGAATTTTCTGCTATCAAAATCAAATCATACTTCCATTAGATGTTGATTAATTAAGTTCTTTGTATATTACCGAAGAATGATAATATTATTTCGAGTATAATATTATGAATTAATAAAATTACAAAAGATAAAAAATTATCATTTCTATTTTATATGTATATTTTTTATGCTATCCGAGAATTATTACGTAAATTATTTAAGAAATCAAAGTTTGTTCTAGTGTTCTATAGAGACTTGCCTTTTTTCTAAACACTTTTCACACGCATTCTAAAAAATAATGTGTTTTAAATTATTCAAAGCTTCTATAAAATCCTTAATAACTATAATAATTCCTTACCTATATGTCATCACAAGATCACCACCGGATTTCCATATATGTGCTTTTATCGTTGCCAAAGTCATTGTTGGAGCCAAAACCTAAATAAAAAAACTTTGCTCAGAACATTTTCTGCAAGATTACAAATGGTGGACAAATGACTCACTTGATCCTGGCACACTAGCTCTATCCACATCTCGGGCTTTAAAGTTCGTATTTTCTTTTTCTCCTCTTCTCTTTCTGTTTCATCTGCCGATGCGCTATAATTATTATTTGTAGTGCTTGTTGGTGAAAGTTCAAGCTTCTCTGCAATATGTATTAATATTTTTCGCACACGAAGGATTCGAGGTGCTGATAGCTTCATATTACTAAACGTATTGCTAAATTGTTTAAATTAATCTTACGAACCATCAAATACATCAAAAATGATTAATAAAGAATATATACCCATTGGGCAGCTCACTCATTCCAGACCCTTCATGAGGACGTAAGATAAAACTGACTTTTGCCGGTTCTTTATTCGGAACTTTATTCTATAAAGAATAGAAGGATATCAATAATTGTAAAGACTTGAAAATCAAATGCAATCTTCGTAATACCAATGTTAAAAAATCACAGAGCCATGATGGTATATGCCGTTTAATTTCTTCGTAATCCGAGCCAAGTGAAGCCATCGTACCACGATATAAATCTACGCTAGTTGAAGCTTCCGGCGACTCTTCAGAAATTATTACTGTAGTGTGCGATGGAATATTAATTTCAGGACTTTCTCGTAAATCAAAATGTCCGAAAGGTGCAGGTAAAATAGGTATATTTATTAATCCAGGCTGTTGGTTGCCTTTTGTTTGTTGAGCGAGAGATTGTTGTAAACTTGTGGAAAATGAATGTGGAATAGTTGACGGCGCATGAGAACTAGTTGGAGAGTTTATCTATATAATAATAATTAGTAAATGTCTATTTATGTTACAAGATAAATTTCGATAAATTATTTGTTCTATAGCAGGATCACAAAAAAATACCTTTTTTTCCGTTTCATCGTCATCTTTGCTCTGGCTGTCTTCTTCTGATACTTGAGAGACAGCATTTGATTTACTATCTGGAATAATTCTTGAGTTTGGATAATTACCAGTGTTTATTGATAACGCATTATTTTCACTTTTCGCATCAGTACTAGGAGATCGCGACAACTTTCGGACACCATTATTTATTGAATGTTTAAGTCGACCCATTACAGTGCTTGAAGATCCATTACTATTCGATGCTTGATTGACTAGTGCTGGTGGCGGTGGTTGGATAACTTGTGCTGCCGGAACTGAACCTACCGAACCCATATTGCTCACTACTATGGTTCCGGGAGGTGTCCGTGAACCGGAAGTTCCTGTTGGACTAGTTGGTGAATTATGATGTGAACCGGAAAAATAATCGGGTTGTCCTCCGGTAGTAGCAGGTGCAGTATATGGACCAGTGAATGCTGCAAATTGAGTGTTAGGTGATTGAATGGTGGTAGTGGTATTCATTGCGTTAGAAGATGAAATAGGCGCAGCGACAGGATTAGGAATAGCAGGACCTGACAGATTCATATTTAATGTTGACGATGCGAACATTGAACCATTGGCACTAGCAGTCATATTCGCAACATCACCAAATTGAGCTTGCATTGTAGCAGGAGGAAATGAAATATGCTGTAGTCGATTCGGAGATTGTGGTTCATTTTCTAAAGTCTCATTTTGACGCTCTAATAATGAGTCATGTGAAGTTTTTTGATGTTGTGAAGACTCTCGATTTTGACTTTCTTCATGTGCACGAACATAATTAGCAAATAAATATCTCAACACCCATTTGCCAAGATTAACTGGTAGTACAAGAAACTGGAGTGATTAGTAAATTCATGGTAACCAAATAAGGCAGATTTCGCATAATAAAAATTTACTTTTGATCTCCTTATCAGGATCTTCTTGTATTCCAATCTCATCTGCATATATTTCCGCATCAAAACATTGGGATTCTTCTAAGTGGATAGTTAGTGCCTGATAAAATAAAGTCGTTAGAATGATCAAAATAGTTAAACCGCCATTGTTTACTTACGCCAATTCTAGTATCCACAAAACACCAGTTTGGGATTGATTCGATGGAATTAATTTCTTGGCAAACTTCATCCAAATCCCGTTTACCAAATGTTTTAATGCGAATACACTATTACAATAAATGTTTAGTATACAAGTTAGTTAAAATAACAAATTTTTTCTGTCGAGAGCTATTTGTATATAAAATACCTCAATAATATCCCAAAGTGCGACCTCGCCCGATGTGTCAACTGTGAGTATATGTCTGCGATTGTTTAATATACAATGCTTAATTAAACCGTGTTGACCTGTTGTTCAAAAATAGAGCTGGCATTTATAATAATTGTATACATAATGATGAGATGCATAGTAAAGATGAGAATCAATACCTGGTATGACAAAATCCGGACAATCTCGAATTGGGATAGGATCATCATTATCAACCTCATCATATGGTTGTTCTTCGACTAATACTGAGTCAATAGAATATAATGTAGTAATCTCAGAGTCTGCAGCGGCGATACCATATGAAGTATCCGAGGAGGTAAGCTTAATAATCGCTGAAGGAGGTATAGGTGGTATAGTTGGCGAAGATGGAGAAACCGGAGAGGTTGGATTAGAAGTGGATGTTTGTATATGTGAGAAATTTTTACGACGAGGATGGATTGGAACGTCTAGCTGAATATGAATTCATAATTATTGTCATTAATGGCTCATATGAAGATGTTTAATGATTAAACATAAATATAAAATTCCAATGAAGCTGTACCCATCTATTGATATTTGAATTAGATGTAGCTGTCCATATGTATTTGTTATCTAGCGCTACCATCTAAAAGATTATAAATTAATAAATGTATTTATACAGGCAAATAAGGTTACTGATCAGTATTATTATTTACCTTTACAATACCCGCATTTTCTTTGCAGATTGCTACACATTCACCATCGCGAATTTCCGCTAAACCACTATAATCGGTCTTTGCCACTAATCCATCTTTACTACCCGAATAAAAAGTTTCAAGACGTGGATGATTCGAGAATAGCGCCCAAACAGAATCAGAATGTATGGTAAAAGTGTTGATACATCTTTGCGCCGTCAAAGACCAGAGTTTTATTGTGGTATCAGATGATCCTGATAAAATCTAAGAAAAACAAGGTTGTTATTTAAATTTTAAAACGACAGAAAACATCCTAAAGATGATGTGATGACTTACTAATTCACCGTCATTGCTTACTAAGATAGCTCTAATATTATCCGTATGTCCGGTGAATTTCATTATTCGCTTGCCAGTGCGTGGATCCCAAACACGAATTATCTTGAATTTGGATAGAATTGCTTTTTCGTTTTAATCTTAATATGAAGCAATTAAGCAGTCTAAGGATCGTCATTTAATATGCTCTAATTATCTTTTGTTTCGATTAGAAATATGACAAACCTTTTCTGGAGAGCCAGAAGCGAGCACCGTTCCAGAAGGATTGCAAGCAAGGGCATACACAGATGATTTTGGAGATGCTTCAAGAATTGCAACTAATATATAATAAATTTCAAATAAGAAACTCGAACAAAACCGATACTTCTAAATCTAATTAATGTTCTTTATTTATACCTTTAGGATTAAATTCAGGTTCTAAGGAGTTGGTCGGACTATATTCATTTGACGAAGGTCTACACTCTGTAATATCCCAAATAGCAATTTTTCGATCAAAGCCACCACTAGCAACCCAACCAGGCCCAGGTGCATATGCAAGAGCTTTGATGTAATCAGTGTGTTTACCCACATTTATCGGATTATTGGTCTTATGGGGATTCCAGAGTTTTAATGTGCGGTCAGATGAGGCGGATATAACTATAAAATCCCATCATCATACCAGGAAAAATTATTTTATTTGAATTTAATAAAGTAGACCACATCCGCTTAACAATGATAACTTACGAGTTTGATTGTTGTGACATAATACAATGTCATTTACCCAATCGGTATGACTATGAAAAGATTGGCGAAAGGTTGATCTTGGTGATGGTTGCTTAAATTATCGATATGTTATAAATAAAATGAATTCTTTTTCGATCGTAATCTCAACCTAAAGGTATTGAAGCTTACAGTAGTGTCCAACTCTCCTATATCGAGTTCCCAGTTTTTAAAATCCTCAAATTGCTGGCCTATAGGAATATCATCTTTCTCCTTGGTATTAACAGTTTCCGAAATTTGATTAGCCTTTTGGTTTAACGAATCACGTCTTTCTTTTTTTTCTCTAAACGGCAAGTGCAAGTCCCATGAAGAAATAACGCCATCACGTCCAGCAGTATACAATATTCCCTCTGGCTTTCCAGAGTCTGGATTCACTGTATTCGTGTCTATGGCTAAAGAATTAACTCCTAAAAGATGTCCATGTTCGTTTTGATCATGGGTGATAACATAAGAAACACGCCGTCGAGCTCGTCTCATTTTTAATTTGTAAAATTATATTGATTCATTAAAAAATACATTTATCAATATTTTTGTTGCACTAATGTCGATTCTTGCTATTATTATAAATTAACATTGAACAACATTATTCTAAATAAAACCATTATAACTTGACATTTTGATTCTAAAAAATATAAATTGCCAATATTATTTGATGTATAATATATATGAGTGTGTGTATATATATATATATATATATATGTTTGTATAAGCACAATGTCATCATAATTACAAATTTTTCCGAATAGAAAATATGAAACTAACAATATAGCTTTAAAATTCTCTTTAAAAATGTTCTTAAAAGTATTAGCGACCACCCAAACCTCCTCGCCTTTCAATTTCTTCCAACGACGTCATACCACGTTGTTGCAAGTTGTTATTTGGAGGCAAGCCTAAGAATTATTATCAATATAGCATTTAAAATTCAAAAACAATATAAGTTGAAAATCCAATAGAAATAAATCATTACCTGTAATATTGTTAGGTGCAATGGCATTGTTTACCAAATTCGGTATGAACTGAGCATAGCCATGCATATTTGCAAAAAGAGCCGTCTCAGTGCTAGGTGGTAGTATCGCATGATGCGGATGAACAGAAAATTGTTGTGGAATCTGATGTCCAGAAAAAGGAAGTTGTTGCTGGTAACGATCAGCCTGATGCTGCTGATAGCCAAAGGGTATTTGCGGGGGAGCTTGTTGATATTGTGGATGAATCTGTTGGGGAGGATTACGTGAAGGGATCATTCCAAATAGTTGCTCAACAGGGATGTTTCGTCCGAGTGGAGGAAGAGGTGGAAATTCAGGGTGAGCATGAGTATGCTGATGAACATTAAGGTTGTTTGAATATGAAGACATGAAATTATGATAATGTGAGGGGTCAAGTCCCTGTTGCTGAGAAAGGATGGGTGAGCGAGGTCGAGGCGATGATTTATATTGAGGTAGATGATGATGATCTTGCAAATTTGCAGGCTGTGGTATATTTGGTGAGTGAGGATAATTCGAAATGATTGGTTTTAACTTCAATGCAGGTGAAGACGATGCCGATGATTCTCTAGAGCCTCCATCGGATTTTGTACTCAGTTGACGATACACAGAGGTGGGCACATTGTTTCCAAAAAGCATATTCAACTTTTTGGCGGAGTCAGAAGCATTCATGTCTGGCACGCCACCAACACTCATCTGTCTATGAATGGGCTCATATTTCGATTGTTGTTGCATGCCTTTAGTATGAGTATGATGCTTCTGTGCCATGATTATAGATGGATCATTGAATGGAATCCCAGTAGCATGAGATAAAGGTTCGTTTGAAAGCGATTGAATTGATGAACCTATTCCTGTCGGCGCATTTGGTGATGTGTACTGTCTTTGAGTCTCCGAAGACTAATAATGGAAAAATCATATAGAAAAAACAAATAGGACCTTTTAATATCATCATCTATGTACATGGTTGTTATGCTATTGAATAATAAAAGTCTTACATTTCCTTTTGCCAAGGCTGCTAAAATTTTGTTGAAACCCATCACATCTTCAGGATTCTGTTCATTATAATCATTCTTGGAAACAGTGGTTTTTGCTCCAAGTGATTGTAATACTTCAGCCTCTGAAAGCATACGTTTCCCATCATTAGGTATGGCACGAGGAGATGCTGTTGTGACATTGACTTGGCTTTGAAAGAGAGCGTCAAGCGAGATTGGAGCGGAATGTAATAATTCATTTGTAGAAGAATGATTTTGTGATATTAAAGAAATTCCTTTAGATTTTTCATTCACATTCCGTTCCGCATTAAGATTTTCGTCTTCATTGTGATTAAAGAATTTAGCAAAGCGAGATGTTGGCTGCTCACGAGCGCCATATTCGTTCTTTCGTCCACCTCCAATAGCAGGAATCTCAGTTGCTGCATCTCCCCCAATCATTGCAAGTTTATGTTCTTTATAAAATTTATCAAATGCATCAGAAGAACCAAGCTCTAAATCAATTCCACTGCGTCCGAATAACTGATCTACATTTGACGGTTGCTCTACTAATGAATTAAACTTTTCAAATTTAATTTATTCTGATAGGAAGATATTATTTAAATCCATACCTTCGAATCCGGTAAGTTGTTTTTCTTTATTACTACTCTCTTTAATTTCAAGAGAGATATTATTGACAGAATCCTCGTCTGATCCAACGATATATTTATTCTCAGCTCGCCAAGATATACTACTATCGGCTCGAGAAACACTTCGTGCCCTACCTTTTTCTGTTGTTTCTTTGCGTTCCTTTTCGGAACGCACTTTTTCTTTATCTTTTCTTTCTTGTTCTTTCATTCGTGATTTCCAAGCTTGTATGTCAAATGTTTTCTTCTCATCTTCTTCAGCTTCCTTCGATTTCTTTGATTCCTCCTCAGGATTATAATTCATCCATTCAGGCGTCTCTGATCTATCCTCGCCATGCGAATGATGTCTTGAAATACCAGATTTGACCAGATTTTCTTTACCACCAACGCCAGAATCTAGAAAATATTTTTTAAAAAAATGTAAATAGTTATATGTGAAGAAAAAATTATTTTACAAATAAACTCACGTTCTCTTCGATTGCCTCGTGGTAAGTCTTGTGTACGTAAAGAAGATCCTGTCATGCGAGAATGATGAGCACCGTTTGATAACGTACTCGTATCTCTCATTTCTCGCATATCTCTCGCGTCTCTTGATTCATTGATATCTTTTGATGACTTATCTGACATTAATTTCTGTCGTAAATTCTCTCTTCCAACAAATCCACGACCACCAGTAGGGCCGCGGGGGGCTCGAGGTTCAAAATCCTTACCGGTTGACCTTAACAACGAACCGTTTTCTTCTCCCTTTTTTTTTGAAGTAAAATAAAATGTAAAAAATAAATCTTGAATAATTCGGATGACAAATAATACTAACTTGGCGTTGGCGTATGCCATCAGTTCTGGCAGCTCTAGAAGGAACTGCAGCTGATTTATCTTCCGCTATTTTAAGTCCTCCTATGGAGGATGAAGCGAAATTCATTTTGGGGGGACCTAGCACAATCTTATCTTCATTCGTACACATACACATGATAATAATTCGAATAATTAGCCATCAACATGTAAATTAAGTAAACAGGTGCTACTGCGATATTATTACCTGATGGTTTTGGAGAAGTTGGTGCCGAGCTTCCGGGACTTTTTTGAACAGTTAACAATGGACTTTTCGGAATCCCTAATGTGTTTGCATCATCTTTTGTTTTGTTCGACCCATCTCCGAGATTATAATTAGATTGTTTGCTGTTAAAAAAAGGAGGGCATACACAAGCACGAAATTTAGATGCCAAGGTCACTAATATATATATAAGATATGGTCTATACCTGTTAACCTCTTATCATTATCCAAAGTGCTACTGTCAACTGTGGTTTTTTTATTATCTTTCTTTATTATCTCCCTTTTTAAATTAATTTTGCTTCATTAATTTATAACGCAAAACCTGTGAATTGTCGAATAAATCTATTAAATGTTTACCCGTACCAAGTATTCATCGATGGTAATCTATCCGGTTTTTTGACCAAGGGGCTTTCACGTAGTGCCAGTAATTGCTCCTTAGTATAGCGGATCAAAGGTCTATTACTTGATCCACTCTGCCGGATCGAAGGCAGAACATTTATTGGGTCTACAGATTCCTTAAATTGACCATTACTTTCCTCTTGTACTATTTGTACTATTAAGGGAGATTTAGATTCTGGGGGTATTGTTGCTACAGATGATTTCTCTGTGTCAGTAATGGGGTCCGCAGACGTGTCGTCGGCCTCCGACATTTGTAAATGTGAGGAAGCGTGTGATTAGATTGGTTAAGAAGGTATAGTGTGTTACTAAAAGAGCTCAAATTGGAAAAATTAAGTCAGTATTGTAGGTTATTGTTCGATCTTTTAAAGCCAGAAGATAAATATAGCAAAGTTAATTTTACAAATATAAAAAAAATAAAAAAAGAATATTTTCTGAATTTTATTAAAAAATTAATTGAATGGATGAAAGAATAGAAACACGTTATTTGTAATATATTTTATATAGAAGAGAGATAAGAGAATTCATCTCAGTGATGAAAGCAGTCAAAAAAAAAACACGTCACCCTAAAATTGGGGGGCCCTTAAAGCGGTGCCACAAACTTGGCAAAATCTAAGCCACAAAGTACCAAATGATCAAAGTGAAGATGTTTTTTTCGTTTCTACCCGATTCTTGCTAAAGAATTTGTATACATTAAATAAGTATGAACTAAGATACTAAATAATATTATTGGGTGATGTTTTGAAAACGTGGGAATCCTATTCCAATTGATTCGGAGATATACAGTTCTTTAGAAGTATCAAAAATTAGATAAACCTGATGATCATTGGCACTTGCGAACGTAAAGTTGTATGCTCCAAATCGGGTTAATTTTCCTAGAACTAAATTTCAAAGATCATATGACATACAAATATAAGCGGGAAGATATTTAACGTTAGTTCTATATATCTTTGTTTCTTTTTTTGATATACTGCAGTGATGATCCGTCAGATGTAGTGGCTGAAACTCGTACCGTTTTAAAAGGGCCCCTAAAAATGGCCACGGTAATTTGGTATGCATGATTAATTGCTCTATATGGAGTGAGGGTTTATTAATCATGCTAGGATGATTAACAATTCTGGTATTTATAATATTGTAATAATTAAATGACTGAATACATGCATACAACGATTGTTCCCATTATTATTAAATATATGTAAATAAAATGATGAAATCCCGGTTAATATTAAAATATTAAGCAATTAGGTGTTCGTCCTCGTCCAATTTATTGATAGAAAGAAGACCATCTGATGGGAAGATGATATTACCGAGATTTCCCTGTGGCAAAAATTCATCCTTCACCGCAGCAAAACCTATCATAGTAATTTTTTTCATTCAGTGATCGTTATAATTCTATTTGTGGTGGTTGCAAGGCTCGGATTGCCTAGAACAACCACTCGGTAATAGTACAATAATAACGATAGACAGAAAAAATAAAGACGACGAAATAATGATAAAAATTAAAAAATATAACTTCTCTCGCAAAGTTACCAAAACTGTGTGACCATGAAAGAAGCGTCGAGTAGTAGTAGTAGATGTAATAGCGTATTTTCTTCAAACTAATGAAATAATAAATTTATGATGCCACACATGAGAATTTAGGTATACTTTATAATATGAACCAGAAACATTAACAAAGGGTTACTCTCTGGTATGCTAGCAACTGAATTCTTTGCATTGGTAGTATCTCTCTGTCGCCATCTCTTCCGTTCTTCGTTCCCCTCTGCGTTTTTTTCATGTCGTCATTTAATATTACTGTGTATGTATATACCTAATAAAAAAATTATTCCCTAATAATAATAATAATAACAATATTGATCAGTCTTGTTCATGCCAATAATATAGTCCAGGCGATGATGATAACCACATATTCATTATAGATTAGCCGCTTTTGAAAATCGAACGTTATAAAACATATCGGGTATGAAGACGGCCGAAATTTGATTTCCACCAAACCAGCGACCATTTAGACCATTTACTGCATTTTGAGCCGATGCAACCGAGTCAAATTTCATATATATATCTCCCTTTAAAAAAATAAATAAATATATATATATATATATCGTGAGCCACGTTGTGCGTGATTATGAAGAAGTAAATATATCAACTGATACTTACATTAGACTCTTTATCAACACTAATATGTACTAAAGGGCCATATTTAACGCATTCACTTTTTACATCATCTTCCAGTTCTTCAGCCCAATTTGGCTCTGATTCCCTAAAGTTGCAATAAACTAAATTATTCAGTAAATATTACAAGTTAGCAACAGACAAAATTTTTAATACATACTCTTCAGGATTAAACATATGCTTTAATAATACACATCGTGTAGGATTTACTCTTGGTTGAACGGGTCGAGGACTAACGTATTTAATTGTCATTTTTGTTAGCAATGAATTTCTCTCCCAATACATTAGGAAATGCCCACACATGATAATACATACGGTTCAGCGGGAATAGGATTTGGTGCAGGCGTAATAAGATCAGTATCACGTGCCAGTTTTTGCATTAATTCTACTCGAGACTGAGCGTTTAAGGCTAGACCAGCAACATCTAATGATTGTCATATTGTAATAATAATTAAGTGAAATTAGACTTGGACCTCCCAATTAGCAAATTTAAATTATTTTTTTTTATACAACAATAACTTACCTCCGTCATCAAGATTTAAATTCATTCCGTTACTCTTATCAGTAACAAGACCTACTTTTATCTACAAAATTAAAGTTCAATTAGTCTTCATATGCTGAAATACTAAAAATGTGGATAAACTGCTTACCGTTCTTCCTGCCAACTCGAAACCATTCATTTTTTCCAGGGCTTGTTTAGCATCTTCAGGATTTTTATACCTATTCAATAGATGGATTAATAAAAAACGTTAAAAAATTGAATTATGAGTCCGGTGAATTAGTTCATATTATTGCTTTTACATAAATCAAACTTACTGAATAAAAGCGAATCCTCTAGATCGCCCTGTTTCCGGATCTTTGTGTAAATTTACGAATTCTAAAGGACCAAATGGCTCAAACACCTGTCTTAAATCATCTTCCGTCAAATTAAAATGAACAGATCCAACATAGAGTCGATGATAGGCAATATCTGTGGCATGCGATGCTCTGAATACAAATAAATTAGCGCACTCAATCTATATGGTAAACGTTTGTCAAGATAATTGATAGCCTAGATGCTCACGCTTGTTCTGCTAATCGAGCTTGACGATTTTTTTCAGCTTCAGTTAACTGAACAATAACAGGGATGCCTAAAAGTTTTTGTCCCGTCAAAGCCAAAGCTTTGGGAACAGATTCTTCGTCATAAAATTCCACATAGCCAACCCTATAATGAAAATGTGAATTGTGACAGAGGCAAAATATCTTTTAGTTTATTGCCCCTTTTTTTTTCTTTAGTAAGAAGAATATTTATGATGAATTACCCTTTTGATCTTCGAGATATTCTATCTGCAATAATTTTAGCGTCTCTGACCTTCCCAGCTTGTGAAAAAAATTCAGCAAGTTCTCTTGTTCGAAGACGTGCAGCAAGTTGCATTACAAACACAGTGCGCTTATCTCGTTCTTCTTCATCTAAAGGAGGAGATGGAGATCGCCGCCGACCGCTATGCAAGTAAATTTATTTAATTTCATATAGAATCAGAATCAAAATCTATGCGAGGATATAATGATTTACGAAAATACCTTAATCTAGTTGGACTAGGGCTTTTACGTCGCGGGCTTCTACTACTTCTTCTCCTATCTTTTTCTCCTCTGGATCGAGTTCGACTTCTTCGTTTCTTATCACGCGATCTAGAACGAGAACGACGTCTCCTATGCCTCTCACGCGAACGAGAGCGTGAACGACGAGAACGTCGTGATCGAGAATGTGATCTGTGACGATGAGCAGAGGAGCGAGAGGAGCTTCTATGGCGTCTATTACGTTCGCTATTTGAAAAAAATGGCTTTAACTTAAAGTTTAAGAGGGTGCAAAATTCTTTATATGTATAGAAGCTTCCTCACCTTTTAGCAGAAATTTCTTTCGAGTCTAGTTCATTAACTACATTCAAGTAACCCTCCGCAAGCTCTGGCTAAAAACGAAAACATTAAAAAATGTAAATAGATAAAAATTTACGAATAAGTAATGAGTACCTGCGCCTTTTTAAAAGGAGCCTCTAACATGGCTTCAACATCGATGTCATCGCTCATTTTGTTCATTTTGTTCATTTTTTTTTTTTAATTCAGAAAATGTCTATTATCAGATATTTGTTTATGATAGAAACATTGCATTAAATAATAATGGATGGGTAGGTGGCTTTTAGCCAATCGAAATTTTTGACGACGAAAATCAGGACAAAATTCTTTCTTTTTTTTTGTTGCTTCTCACCAATTTTGTTTATGAAATTCGATAAGAATGGAAAAAGTCCCAGAGCACCGAAAAAATGCATTCAAGTCAAAAAATCTCTTAAAGCCTGAAGAGTTAAGACGACGTCGCGAAGAGCAGCAAATTGAAATTAGGCGTAAAAATCGCGAAGAATCTTTAGCGAAACGACGTAACTTAAATGTTCCTGCTTCACCAGATTCCGATGATGAATCTGCAATGGCATTGTTTAAAGCTCAGGTGAACATTTGCTAAACCTTTTTAAAATTACACATGTGAAAGGCATTTCCATAGCTACCGTAATTCGTAATGCAAAATGCCCTCGGTGTCTCCTACATTCCACGGCGCATTTAAAAGGAAACTATTAGTAATAAAAAAAGGGTATTTTGCATTGCGAATTATGGTATTGCTTGAGACGTCAATAAAATCACTAATTTTCATCATACTTTTAAAATTTAGCTTCAAGATCAACTTCCAGGAATGATACAAGGTGTTTTTTCCGATAATGTCGAAGAACAGCTTCAGGCGACAACAAAATTCCGTAAGTTGCTTTCGAGAGAAAGGCACCCGCCAATTGAGCAAGTGATTGAATGCGGTGTTGTAGCTCGATTTGTCGAATTCTTGAGATCACCTCATACTCTTGTGCAGGTTTGTTTCCTAACGTATCATACAACCTATTACAACAACAGCAACCATAACTACAATTTATTCTAAACTTTGGATAATAGTTTGAAGCTGCTTGGGCTCTAACCAATATTGCATCGGGATCCTCTCAGCAAACACAAGTTGTAATTGACCATGGTGCTGTACCCATATTTGTGGAATTATTAGATAGTACGTTCGCTGATGTTAGAGAGCAGGTAATAATTTCCATTAATAAATTACAATTCAAGAATTTTTTCTAATATTTGTTGATTTATATTAGGCTGTATGGGCTCTAGGAAATATTGCTGGTGATAGCCCTTATTGTCGTGATTACGTTTTACGTGAGGGAGCTCTTCGCCCTCTATTGGGCATTTTGAATGAGCCGCATAAACTTTCGATGTTGCGGAATGCAACATGGACTTTATCAAATTTATGTCGAGGCAAAACTCTGCAACCGGAATGGAATCTGGTAATTCATGCTATTCTATGTATACACGACATTATATGATTATGACCAATTTAACAAGACTTTGTCTATTAGATTTCTCCAGCCCTTCCCGTTCTTGCTAAACTCATCCACTCAATTGATGATGAAGTTCTCATAGATGCTTGTTGGGCCATTTCTTATCTTTCCGAAGGAATCAATGAGAAAATACAGTCAGTGATCGAAGCTGGCGTATGCAGACGTTTGGTAGAACTTTTAATGTAAGCGTAAATCAATAAAAATAAAGCGTCTTAATCTCAAAACTCAACAATTATTTATTTAGGCATCAGTCAACATCCGTACAAACACCTGCTTTACGTTCCATTGGGAATATTGTCACCGGAGATGATGTCCAAACTCAAGTAGTTATCAATTGTGGCGCACTTACTGCCCTCTTAAATCTATTATCGAGTACAAAGGAAGGAATTCGCAAAGAAGCATGCTGGACAATTTCGAATATTACTGCTGGCAACTGTGCTCAAATACAAGCAGTAATAGACGCGAATATCATTCCTATACTTATTAACATCTTACAAAACGCGGATTTTAAGACGCGCAAGGAAGCGTGTTGGGCAATTTCTAATGCGACCTCGGGTGGATTGAACAAACCTGAACAGATAAGATATTTGGTTAGTCAAGGATGTATCAAACCATTATGTGATCTGTTAACTTCCTTAGATAACAAAATTATTCAAGTTGCTCTTGATGGCATTGAAAATATACTTAAAGTCGGAGATTTGGAAAAAGTAGATGGTGTCAATCAGTTCGCATTGTATGTTGAAGAGGCTGGTGGCATGGAGAAAATTCATAACCTTCAAGTTCATGAAAACGTGGAAATCTATAAGAAAGCCTACCATATTATTGATAAATATTTTGGGGAGGACGAAGAAGACGCAACTTTGGCACCAGAAATGGATGTGTCCACAGGTCATTTTGCTTTCCAAACAGATTTAAATATGCCACAAGGAGGTTTTAATTTCGAAGGACAATCGATGTAACGCTGTTATCGAGTTCGATACCATGAAATCATGTGATACAAGGGAAGGGATTTATTAACTTTACGTGCAGACTTCAATCTTTTTATTTCTAATAACCTTTTTTTTTAATATAATTATACACACGTTTATTCCCTCTTCCCTATTCTACTGTGAGTATTCCTTGTATTGATGAGCCTGTTGTTTATGGAACAATAGCACTATTACAAGATTTACTTCTAGTGGATTTTAAGAAGACATTATATAAAGCTGTTATTATTACTCTTACTCCTCCCCTTTTTTTTTGACTATACACCCCTCCCCCCAATCGCTTGATATAAAAATACACCCCTTTCACATTTGATTATTGATTTTTTTCTGAATATTCACACAACAAAAGCAATAATGATGGTAATTGAGAATTTGTTCTGTTCATCGGGAAAGTTGGATAGAATAATTATCGTGACTTTGACTTTCAGATAGGCCAAAATGGTTTCAAGGGAAGTCAGGTTAGATCAGCGAATCAAGTCACAAACTCTTAATTTTCAATTTAGCGTGGTCGAGGTGTTGTTTATTCCAAAAATGGTGGGAGTGCCAAAATTAATGAAATTTGGGCCAAATTTGATATTTGCGTATGAGTAATAAAATTTTTTCGCTTATCAATATTATTTTTCTACAAAGAAAGATTGCCAACGAATTATGATTTTTAATCCTCAATTACTTGATTGATAATAAAAATAGAGTGCTCAGAAAGTTGAAGAGAAATAGTTGTTGAATTTGCGTTAAATTTGTAATTTACCGAGAATTTCTCGTCCTCGTCTATGTTTTTTATGAAGGTAAGGGAGGACATAACGAAAACACGAAATCAAGCCCATCAGAAACTTGAATAAGTTAAACAATATTATGATGTAATTGAAATGTAATTTGCGTTCGAAAGCCACTCAAGCGACACAATGCCTGGTGTCAATAAAAACTTGAGTGTTGCAACTTGTGAACAACACTTATCTGATAAAAAAGAAAGAACCACAAAACTTTCATTTCATCTCGAGATAATTAATCACTTTCTATTATTATTATCATTGTTAGAGAATTTTACCTTCGATTCTGAGTAATAATTTAATAAGAGGTATTTATTCAATCAAAATTTTTTTTACTGTTATGTATGGGTGCGACGGTGGTGAACATTGATTTCCTCGATGATTATAAAAGAAAATATTTGCTACTACAGAAAGATTATGTTGACAGGACATTTAATCACCAAGATCTATGAGAGAAATCTATCATCTTACTTTTTAACAATATCAATTTTTTTTGCGATGAATAAATTTTATTATTGATTATTCTTCCTCTCTAATTATAAGAAGAAAGGTTATCATACGGTTGACTGCGAACTTGTGTGTAATTATAAAAATTGGCGTAAGAGCGTTAACGCGTTTTAACTGATACATCTTTATATTTTGGAGAAAATCTTCTTTTTTTTGGACCTTTATGGAAAAGGTGACAGATTTTTTTAAATTTAAGCATTGAATTTATTGGGTTTGATTGTATAAAATTAGATACATTAGCGTTAACACGATGTCTTTTAATTTAAATGACCAATAGAAACGAACGAATTAAAGTTTATAATACAACTTCCCCGCAATAGAAAAGATCCGACGGAACGCAGAAAACACAAGTCACACAACAACTTCTCCGGAGTTTATAAATTCTCCACGAGATTTTAGAGAAAATCAATCAATCCACGATAATATCGATATGAGATTACTTTTTGGTTTTGTGCTGTCTTCTTTCTTGGGTGGACATGGATATCTTAAAAAGTCACTTTCAACTTCAGGCGCTGTTGCTGCTTTTCTCGTGGGATTGGGAACAATGTATAATGATTGGGCGGTGTTCCCTTTATTGTTGTTGACTTTTTATTTTACAGGTTCACGATTAACAAAGGTGTGCGTAGAGAGTGACAAATACATATATATTTTTTTTGCTTATCAACTAGTATCTTTACTAAAATATTGGTATATCGTCTCAGCTGAAAGCAGAGAGGAAAAAAAAACTCGACGAAGAATATTTAGATGGTATGCATCGATTTTCTTGTCCAATTTTCAACTTGTTTCTTCATTATTCATTTCATCCCAATTATTTTTTTATATACGTAATGTATTAGAATTAATTATTTTTTATAGGAGGACAAAGAAGTGCCACACAAGTTTTCTGCAATGCACTTTGGGGAACACTTATAGCAGCATGGCATCAATATACATTTGGTGATGAAAGGATCACGTGTCTATTTGAGAATCCATTTTCTACAAAACTCTTTCTGTTGTACCTTGGGTATCTATCTTTTGAGTGTATCGTTTGGACACAACAATTATTTTTGTACGCATGCGATTTTAATATATGCGCATTCATTAATTATTTAGACATTACGCGACATGTAACGGTGATACGGTTAGACGTTTCTTTTGATTGTTGCTTTGATGATGATATAAGCATAATCTCTAACTTGTATTTAAAAGTGGGCAAGTGAAATCGGGGTATTGAATAAAGATTGGCCAATCTTAATAACTACTCTGAAGAAGGTTTGTTTACGTGGATAAATGCTATATATCTGTATCGGCCAAATCTTACCAAAATAATTGTATACTCAAGGTACCACCCGGCACAAATGGCGGAGTATCACCATTAGGCCTAGCCGCGTCACTATTCGGTGGTTCCGCGATAGGCATAGTTGCTTTTGTATCGATTGGTCTTTCAGGAGGTTGCGATCGTTGGATGTGGGAATTAATCCCGATTGCAAGTCTTGCGGGATTGATTGGCTCGCTTGTAGATTCTGTACTTGGAGCTACTGTACAAAAAACTTTATACTCTGAGAAATCGCACAAAATAGTCCATCATGCAAGAACAGTCAATGAAAATATTAAAGTTATTAGTGGTTGGGATTTATTGGATAATAATCAAGTATGTAATTGTTTTTGACGTTTGTTTCACACCCCCCCCCCCCCCACTTTTTTTTTTGGTTAAACCTGATGATACGTATTTGTTCTTTTGGTGTTTAGGTCAACTTTGTGGCTGCTTTTATTACGAGCTGTTTAACTGCATTTTTTACGATGGATATTTTTGGCATTTTATAGCTGGTTATTCTCTTAAAGAAATATATTTATTATTTTTAACTTTTATTATTCGATGAATTATCATTATGTCGCGCATATAATTCCAAGTATGATCAATAAAAAAAAAAAGGAGAGGTGCACCATTAAGAGAATCCAAATTAAAATATTTCAAACTCAATACTTTTGTCCTCGATAAATAGTAACCAAATCCTTAACAAAACCGTTCTCCCAATCTAATTCATCTTGTTTCACGTTGGTCAATTTCCAATCCC